AAACAAGATCTCGGGCATCGTAAACCTGTTCTCACACATTGTGAGCCGGCTTTGTAATTTTGACGTTCCAGGTTTAGCCTGAGTTTCCAAAGAGACCGGCTAGTGGCGACCAGAGAACAGAAAGTACAGTGTTTCTGGACACAAAGTGACCACAGAGGTGACGGTGCCTGCCTGAGCTTCACCTCCCGACAAGGGGACGGGGATCTGAAACGGCGTTTTGTGTTATAGGGGAAGAGACTGTCGCTAAGCAAGCCACTTCGGAAGGCAACAGAAGCAGAAGGCTGCCGTTGCCGTGGCGCTGACTCACCAGCAGTCCGCTGAGCTGCATCGTGGGTAAAATATGGCAGCCCTGCATGATCAGCGCTCCTCTACCACCAGCGCTGTCTGATATTACATCTCCATGGCGAAACAAAAAGGCCATCTCTCTTCCTTTCTTTCCACATCATTTCCTGAGAGATTCAGTTCTCCCGGTCCCTCGTTGACCGAGAGTCGACTGGGCCGTGTCGTCAGCGGGCGAGAGGGTCCTTGAGGGGCTTAATACAACCCAGACATCCGTCACAAAAACCTTGAGTTAAGTGCGAGTGCCGAGCCAAGGGAAAGGCTTACGCACCGGGGGAAAATGCGGCTAGAGGAAGTCCTGAAGAGCAGAGAGGCTCACGCACATGTCTCGGACCACGGGCCCCCGGGCATCTTATACAAAGCAGGTACACAGAGCCAGAGAAACCCGTCAAGCTCTCAAGGGGGTCTTAAATAGTGCAGGAGTCCCAGCTTTGGGGTGGTTTCTGAATGCACAAAAAACGAGACGTCTCTGTAGGGAGATTTCCTGAGTTCCGGCAAATTGCCGCTATAGTGGATGGGGGGGGGCAACGCGTGCTGAAGAGCTGGCATGCCCCCCTCCACACACGTACATTCACCCCTGCCCCCATTCTGCTTTCAGAGTCCAGCTTGCCGTTCCAGGATAGCTGCCAGGAACTGTCCGGTAGGGCTCCGTCGAGACTGGCTGCCCACTATGAAAGCTTTTTTCCCCCTTATTGCTGTTTGTCTCTGTGCCTCTCTTCTTTAAAGCGGCCCACTTCAGTCCACTCTCTAGCAGTGAATCACTACATGCCCCCCCCATAGGAGAAGAAGTCCCTTTATTCCATGTTGAGTGCGTTTTATAAAAAGGATGGTTTAGGTGGCCGTCTGTCATTGCTGCATGTTTGTCAGGACGGCAGCTTCACGCTTCTGCATGACAGTAGGTCCCCTTTTGTTTCAACAGCCTGGGATAATCATAACGACCATTTCTTGGATTGTATGAAAGCATGTTATTCTCCTTAGATGGATTCAGCTCCTTTGTGATGCAACCTTTGGTTACACAAACTGATAGTACCTACTATGTTATTTCTTTTTCTAAAAAAAAGGAAAACCAACAAACTTGCTGCTGAGACTGCATGACTTTGCACAATTACTTATTTTAGACAAGGACCATTTTTTGTTATATAACCAAAAAGATTACCATCATCCTATGTTTCAAGTGTGATTTGTACCATTCCCCTTCCCACTCCTGTTACTTTTATAAACAAAACAGAAATGCCAACACCTTTTCCTAACAGTAATTAAGGGTATTTCTACCATCAATAAAATTTACACTAGTGGCCAAAATTGTGGAAATACTTTTAGAGACTGCAGAACTTCATTCCAGTTAATCCAGGTATTATCACTTAATCGTCCAATTATACTACTTGCAAACATTCTTTGATTGTTTATCAATATCAATCAATATTCGTGTAGTAATTTTTAAAGCATGCTAGGTGTTTCCACAATTTTGGCCACTAGTGTATATAGATATTAGGATGTCAAAGGGGAAATTTACAGTCATTTGTGCCCTCAGAAGATTTACTCCTGGGAGATCTTGTGATTCTTCCATAAGGCCATAATCTAAGAACATAACGTCCCATAACTTCTTAACACTGTCCAGGACTTCCACGATGAAAGCTGGGAGAATACATTAACGTCCACATAAAGACTGTTTACTGTCCTGTTAAAGACATGTGACTCCTGTTTAAAACACATTACACATAAAACCATCTTTAGATTCATAAAGGATCAGAAAATCTGAACAAACTTTCGAGTCTAAAGGAGAAGAGTTTCTCCTTTCGCTTGGTTTGGTTAAATGCTTCCCTACTCTTGTACCCATATAAAGTCCATATTCCATCTACCCATCAGCATGTCACATGGTTCTGCTCATCATCTCAATCTTTTAATACACCACAGCAAGGACAGTGCCCTAGTACAGCTCATAGAGACTCCATCTCCCATGAGCACCTTAGGTCTCTTATCTACAAAGCTCAGAAGAGCAGGATCTGATGTGACTCCTTTGTTTATCGGCTCTGTAGGCCAGCCAATCACAGATGTTGTTAGACAGGTCACGTGACTGTTTCATTTATAGTCTCTGTAGGCCAGCCAATCACAGTGTTGCCTGTTGCAGCTCCGCTGGACATAAGCATGCATTCCCCACTTCAATATTCTGCAACATGTCCCTCTCTTACCCTGAAGCTGTCCACCTCCCAAACCCTCCAACATGTCCTGTCCAGCAGGGGTTTGGTCGCCTATATCCTGAAGTTTAGAGCTCATGGGCAGACAAATCAACCATTTTTCAAGAAAACATGGGTCTTTATGTGTGAGGTAATTTCGCCATAAATTCTTGGTTTCTGAGAACTTAGAGGCCGTCAGAAAACACAATAAAAAGAGACTGACATTCCTGCCCATCAGCTGTTGAGATCCTAATGTAGACAGAGTGGGTTTTAATCAACCACAAAATATGAGTCCTTCCATCCAGCAAAAGCAGAGGCAGAACCACTAGTGTGTGTTATGGAGGCAAATCAAAAGCGTTAAATACACTTCACTATAGACTACACTTTCACGCCAGCTAACTGACAGGCAAATCAAAAACAAGATAACCTTCTTAATTCCTTTTTAATGAAAATACAAAAATCGGGCATCCACCAGACTCTGACCCTGCCCATTTCGTGCATGTTGAAAAGCTGCAAGCAGTACAACATATTTTCACTACTGGTCCCAGGGCTGGATCTACACTCATCATAGCGCAGCGCACGCGAGCACCGGTGCGTTTCGCGACACCGCAGCACCGCAGGTGTTGTACAACGGCGCGCGCTGTTTCATAGCCTCGGGCTCGCGTCGAACAAGACAGCAGAAATGAACGAGACATATGAGCATGAAATCCATGTAAAATCTGTCTTAATTGCGGCCTGATTGTTTCAGCTGACATTTCAGAAGATTTCTCCCGCCAGTGGGATTTTGCATGCTACTGGCACGTAAACTGGGAATCTGAAAGATCAAGTGGTAAACCTTAGCTCTCAAACACCTTTAAAACCTAAACAGAAATCACATAATTTAAGCGTCAGCATTTTGTGCTAATTTCATTCTCAGTATAATCTATTAGATTACCTAATAATTGACTGTAGTAATTGTCTGTAGTAACAACCAACACTCTTGAATGTGTTAGACCTGCATATTATTCAACTCGTACAAGTAGAAAATATTGCTAACTTGTTGACTGTTCAAGCACAGATAACAGCGGCTGAGCTCATTGTTCAGACAAAATGAATCCGAATTGTTCGAGTGCATAATTCGAACCGCATTAAAGATCACTCCGCTCCAAAATGCAGTTTGCCAGATGAATTTGGTTTGCCAGATGAATTTCGGATTTTGCAGGGGACTCGTATTTTATTCTAATAGCACGCATTGTTTGGCGTAGACGGGCAGATTTCCAAATAGGATGGCCGTAACAAGTATTACAAACACCATTTCCATCTGCTGGTTGAAATGAGTAATTTCAGCTTCTTTGCTATGCGGAGCTGTTCATGTTAGTCTAAGCAACCATGCAGCAACCTAGTTCAATACATCGCATTACTGATTGTTAACTGCTACTGAGCGCAATAACTTTCCCCAGCCGTTTGATAACTATGACCACAAATACTGAAATGCACTATTGAATCTAGTCAATAGGCTAGTACGTCATAATTGTCTCGAGATTGATTGTGTTTGTGCATTAATTGCAATACACGCAAAACGTTTTCAAGAACTGCTCAACAAGAAAGTTTCAAAATATGTTGCAAAACTTAATTTCCACGAAAAAGAGAAAATCCATAAAAGAAGGCATTTTCCCCACATCACAAAAGATTCTCAGCGCCTATCTATAGCCCGTAAATGCCATTCTTTCAGTTGAAAATAGCGGTGATTCAGCTGTCTGAATCCTTCATATCCATTTCTGTCTATCAACACTGAGCCCGAGACGTGAATTACTGCAGCGGCTCCGCAATAGGGAGGGCTGACGGCCGCACGACAGCGCCAGCGCCTTCTAAAAGCACGCGTCGTAAAGTCATTCACTGTTATGCATTTGCGTTTTTAATGTGATTTTAAAAGACAGCATCCGTACTACCGGCCAATCCCGAACCCCATAAACATTACAGTTTCTACTACAGCGAAAAATGCGGTGGAAATTAACGTTCAACCCAGTCTTGACAAGTGGAGCGAGCTAATCCAAATTGCCCCGCACGCAGGTTTAATTTCACGCACCAAAATCTCTTGCATTAATATCTTGAAATTATTTGGCAGGATTACGTAAGTACAATAAAAGCGGTCCAATCTGCAAATGTTTACAAAAAAAAGCACCAGACTCAACATAAATGTTTAAGCCGATAAAGTCTCGCTACCATCTATACATATTACACATTGATATTCACTTTCAAAACAGTGGAATTAGTTATTAACAGAACTTTATTAAATTTCAGCGCATTTCTGTTCTTTGTCATCAAAAAGCTTCCCTTATTTTGTAGGACCCCTTTGAATTGTGACTGCGAATCTGCGTGGGGTGTGGATGGTGGAATGATGGCTCTAAGAAATTACGATAAACGATCGGTGGTCTGCTAAACTATGCCACCTTCACTGAAATGCTTAAAACGATAATCGATCGATTTTTAAAACAATCTTTCATTTACCTGGTGGACAGTTGCAGTCAGGTGGCGCTTCACGGACAGTCCTTATCTTGGTCAGATGTTCATAAGATCGCTGTCAATTCCAAAACATTCATGCATAAGTCATTTTTAAAAGAAAGAGTAAAAACACGTATAATGTATTTAAATAGCATTATTAAGATATTAAACTTGGAAGAAACGGGGTAGCCTAAAGTTTGCACTATAAATAGCTTACAGGCTTTGCGTAATTCCCATTTTGAATAAATCTCACACGGTTGCGTGAGTCAGTGATTACATCTTACCTGAGACAGAAGTTCATCCACTCTCTGTTGTATCAGAGAATTAAACTGATCCATGGAGAACCCGGGAACCTGATGATACAGAAGCTCCCCATTCCCAGTTTCCAATTCCGCCACCCTTGTTTTGATCTCAGATGTCTGCACACTCAATAAAATACAGTATGCAAAGGAAACAAAAGAAAACAAGCACGCCAGGACGTTGACGAAGGTGCCGCAGCAGTACTGTGGCTTGTAAGTCTCCGCTGTCTTCTCCATGTTTTCAGCGCACCTCGGGTCCTCTCTCGTCTCCGCAAGCTTCATGCTGAATGCTGGGCAACGCAGAGTCACATGCACTCGGCATGTAGCGAGAGCAGCAGGACTGTTTTGATTGTCAGACCCAGCGGGTTATGGCCAGAGCACAGTTACTCTAAACAGGCGACAAGCGCGACGCCGGGACGCCTTCCCACTGTCAAAGGCGCTATACAACCTGTGACGGATCCCGCCGCCTGTATGGCCGCTCCCAAAACTTGTTGCACTGCTGTGGATGATGATGCTGTTCTTGTCGTCTTTTTAATAGACCCCCCTGACTTAAAACTGGAAGACCTATTAACAGATTAGTACGATAACTCGCAGATAGGATACTCACAACGTTCAGCAAAAGCAACTCGTTTTAAGGCACAGATCTGATAAACTGACCCCAAATCCCCCTTGCGCTTGCTTTCTTGAAACCTGCGTTGCCCTAATTAACATAAACTATCGGCATACAGTACTCTTCACGTGCGTAATTTACATACATCCTATAAATATGCAGGAACATGGAGTGCCGACTCCCCTCATGAATAGTAACACGTGTTACGAGACGGCAATACGGCTTCAAGTATGAATTCCAGGACTTAAAACATACACGTATACGGATTTGTAGATGCGGAAGAATTCCATGTTTTTATTATATTTGATTATCAGCATTTAACCTAGAATCTGCATAGATAATTTATGTCTGATCATCACTCTGTATACGTAGATTAACACTTAGTAATGTAATATTAGTGTGAACTGGGAGTTGAACTGAAAAACCTAAATATTAGAGGCTGTTGAAGAAACACATTAGCAAATTAGGCACATGGTAAGACTGTCCTCAAACTGTGCATATATAGGGCACTTGGCTACGGTCCCTCACGTAGAGTAAGAGACATATATCTCGTGCCCACCTGCAGCCATGTGTCACCCTCGTCCACACTCATTCCTCCGGCGCTTTCAGCAGGGGTGAGTGAGTTGCGTTATAAAGAAAGTACGGGCTACAGTATCGACAGAAGCCGCCAGTAACACAATTCCCAGTGCAAGGCGCATCCGAGTGGGCAGAGGGCTCATCGCCGCAATAACCTGGACCATGCGAGAGAAACTTCATTAATTCAATAAGCGTCGTTAACTTGTTTGTATTTAATTTGATTTTACGACATTTGATTGCTTTTCTGTCACGGACTGACCACTTCCCTCTGCTCTCTTACCACAATAGTCACCCCCCGTGGACTTATGGTGACGTCATTACAGCAAGCAAGAAATCAAAGTAGATGAAGGATTACATCACTTACCTGTAGAATAGTCAGTAATCACAACCAATCATGCTCTCTGACATTTATATGGGAGCCGTTTGGAAGAGCTCACCCTCTACTCGATTCCTCTGACATTTCAGTGATTGGGACAAATTCGGTGGTAATCACCCTTCACATTTTCCAGGGCTGCAACACCATATTCTGATTGTGACTTTTGCAACTGGTGCCCTTATACCTGATGAGAAGGCAACAGAAACACAGGCTACCTGCTGCTCCACTTGGAGTTAAGGTGGCGTAAGTGAGCCCTGGCTGAAGAGCTGAATTTATTCACTTACAAGCTGACAATGGGATAGATGAGAGAGAAGTAAGGAGCATGAACTTATTACAGTGCATTGCCACACACACCACCTCAGGGATGAGAACCTGAGCGCAATGGGTGATACCTCAACACCACACTAGTCCGAAAGGACCAGTGGGAGCCCCCCCCTAAGTGACTGGAGTGCCAATCCTGCCACCAACCCCCAAGTTTTCCCCTGAAAGCTAGAGAACCTGCCTGCAGGGATGGATGTAGATTAACATCATACCCGGGATGAAGCAATTGCAGGTTAAGGGCCTTGCTGAAGGGCCCAATGGAGTAGGATCATTCCCAGCATTCACAGGATTTGAACCTGCAACCTTCCAGCTGGCACAGATCTGTAAACCTCAGAGCCACCCCTCCACCCGAGATAGATGAGTGATTATGGAAAATGGGTGAGTGGAGGGAGCACCTATAGGGAGATTCCCTACCCTGTGTTTACCACTGTTGGTCGCACCAACATTATAGACTTGAAATTTGAGATAATGGACAATTAGAATGCCACACACCTCCATGTTTGGGGGCTTAGATCCATCTTCCTTTCGGGTGTGCGTGGAGTTTGCATATCACATGGGTCTCCTTCAAGCACGATGGCTTCCTCACACAGTCCATAGACATGCAGTGTGGCAAATTGATGTCTCTGTATTGCCCATAGAGTATGACAATATATGACTTTTGCAATGCATCTGCATACCCATCCATGGTGTATTCAGGTCTGGATCTAGCTTTATGGGGGTGCCTAGACAAAACTTTTCTTGGGAAGCCCCCCCCCCCACCAAGAACACCGATGATCATTTCACATCCTCCCCAGCACAGGTAATTCAGGGGCCCTAGTTAATGATCTATCCTGCCTACAGCTAG